TTCGATTCCGGTCAAGGGCATGTGCCTTGGTTGCGGGCACATCCCCGATGTTTCTCTCTCATCGACGTTTCTAGCTCTCTGTCCTTCTCCCTTCCTCTCTGTGGGAAATCAACAAAATATACTTAAAAAATAATAAAATGCTTTCGAGACCTAGTTCGCTGGGAGAATCGAGGGTAGACGGGCCCCGTGTCGCGGGCAGGTGGGGGCTGGAGGAGGCGGCGGTGCGGGTCAGTGGTGACCGGACGGCCCGGCAGGATGCACCTGCCCCGGGCCTGTGTCCGTGGCTCCCGCGGACGTCCTGGCTCTCAGGCTCGCGCGGAGGCCGTGCGTCCGCAGAGCCGGAGTGTGTTCCGCACGCGGGAGGAGGTGCACACGAGGACCGGAAGCTTCCTTTTGGGAAGTGGTGGGAGCATTTCTCTCGCTTCCTCCTTTGTTATTGTAAAGTCCTCACCCGAGAATATTTCCTGTGGAGGTTTAGAGGGGAAGGGACGGCGAGAGACAAAACTGTTCATGAGGGTTGAGCCTGCAACCAAGGTCCATGCCCTTGACCGGGAACTGAAACGGGGGCCCTTCACGCTGAAGGCGGGTGCTCTGTCCGCTGAGCCACACCGGCTAGGGCTGGGATCGTTTCTTTAGTATAAATTCGTCAATACAGATCTGTTGTGTTTTGTTTTGTTTTTAAACATATTTTATTGATTTTTTTTTTTTTTTTTACAGAGAGGAAGGGAGAGGGGAAGAGAGCTAGAAACATCGATGAGAGAGAAACATCGACCAGCTGCCTCCTGCACACCCCCTGCTGGGGATGTGCCCGCAACCAAGGCGCATGCCCCTGACCGGAATCGAACCCGGGACCCTTCAGGCCCCAGGCCGACGCTCTATCCACTGAGCCACACCGGCCAGAGCTAAAAATAGAGATTCCGGGCGCTCAGCCTGCTGGCGAGCATTCAGAGCCCGGTCTGCCCATGCCGGAGCGCCTGCCCGGGAAAGGCTGGTGACGCCTGGTCACGGGGGACGGGGAGCTGCGTGGAGCAGCTGGCCTGCCCGTGAGCTTCGTGGGCACCGGCTGCCGGACGTGGCGTTGGGGAGGGAGGGAGCAGCTGGAAACCTGGGTGAGGGTGAACTCTCTGCTCCTCAGTTAACGAGGCTGACTTGCCTGTTGCCAAGGAGATGCCGTCTGGGGACGGTTCCAGATCCCCGGAGCCCGGGAGGCCTCCCACGGCTCCATCCTCACTAGCACCAGGCGGTCAGTGTCAGCTGTTCGCCTGCCTGACAGCACTTGGGCCTTGGACCTGGGCTTTGTTTTTTTAAAAAAAATTTGTATTGACTTCAGAGAGGAAGGGAGGAGGAGAGATAGAAACATCTGTAATGAGAATCCTGGATTGGCTGCACACCCCCCACTGGGGATCAACCCAGGCCTGTGTCCTGACCAGGAATCCAACCGTGACCCCCTGTTCACGGGTCTCAACCCCTGAGCCACGCCAGCCGGGCTGGACCTTGTTTTTTTTTTTTTTTAAAATATATATATTTTTATTGATTTTTTTACAGAGAGGAAGAGAGAGGGATAGAGAGTTAGAAACATCATGAGAGAGAGTCATCGATCAGCTGCCTCCTGCACACCCCCTACTGGGGATGTGCCCGCAACCAAGGTACATGCCCTTGACCGGAATCGAACCCGGGACCCTTCAGTCTGCAGGCCGATGCTCTATCCGCTGAGCCACCCCGGTTTCGGCTGGACCTTGCTTTTGATCGGAGTGCATCGGTGGGCTCGCTGCTGCGCCGGTTACATGGTGCACCGGTTACATGGTGCGACGGTTGCATGGTGCGCCGAGGTTTTTGACTCAGCCTTACAACGGGCTCAGCATTCTGGAGAAAGGGGCTGGTCATTTGGGAAGGCATTGGGGGTCAGGATCTTCAGCTGAAGGAAGTAGAGATTCCTCCCTCGACTCGAGACCCCTTGCTTTTATTAACACCATTTGTGCCAAGGCAAGGTGGAGATAATACACCTCAGAGGGTAGGGTATCAAAGGGTATTGTCAGATTGGGGAACAGCCTACAGCTGTTCAGCTGTTTGGCCAACAGGAGGCAATAACATGCCCTGAGCTGTCTGGCAGCTAACGATTATCCTATTCAGGTTTGGGCGAAGTGCCGTTTCCAACAGGTGAATTACATTTGTGGCTCATCCTTGTGGAGCCGCCCAAGCCTCACCAACCTTTTGGTGAAAGTCTTGTAATGACGACACGCTGGAATCGGTTCCCGGCAAAGGTGTGTGAGGCTGTGAGGCCGGGTGGAGGAACGTGGATCAGCCTGGTGCCTGTGTTCCAGGGTCCGAGTCCCATCTGTGCTGCTCACTGGCTCCTGGCTCCCGTCTCCCAGGTGCCCTCGGGCCTCAGCATCCTCGTTTGAAATGTGGGGATGATGCTGTCACCAAGTTACCAAGGAAACGGTGGTCAGAGGGCCCCGGGCCAGGACCAGGCAGGGTAGCTGGCCGTTGGGTGGGAGCTGTCCCTGTTGCTCCTGCATACACACCCAGTTCCTGTCGCTTTCTCGTCCCTCTCCTTCCTCTTCACTTGCGCTCACGGCGTGGATCCGGGCCCGGGCACTGTCTGGCCACAGCCCCGCTCCCCTCCACACACACTGACCGCCTGATGGCCAAGTGGCGACGGGTCCCCGGCTCTTAGGCATCATCGTGCCCACGTATCGAGGCCGGACCTCGGCCACTCGCCGTCTGTGAGCCGAGGTGGGCTGAGAGCCGGCTCAGTCGGCTGAGAGCCGGCTCAGCGGCCCCGGAGTCCGGGCCCCGCGGACCAGTGGTGGATGATGGGAAGGAGAGGTGGCTGGCAGCTGAGGGAACAGGGCTCTGCGTCCCGCGCTGGTTGTCCAGGCATCACAGGCACGGCTGCCTTCTCCTCTCTGAAATCAGCAAAAGGGAGAAAGAAGCCTCTCTCCCACGTCTCTTCCCCTGTGCTCGTCCCCGTGTGGCGTCACGTGGCTCGGGCCTGTTTCCTGGGGAAAGGCCTGCGTCTGCCCCATTGTCTTCTGGGCTGACCTCACTCCCAGCTGAAGGTCACCCCAGCCTCCACCGCGGCTCCTGCACCTCTGCCGCTGGGGCTTCTGGGTCCAGCCCGGCGTGGGGGCCGCCCCTCCTCCTCCCGCTTCCTTCGGGGCCGAGGGAGCACCTCCTGCTGCCGGGTCCCGGTGTGTGTGTGATGCTCCCCCCCAGACAGCCGCTTCCTGCCCTGCGTCTGAGCTCCTCGCTCAGTCCCGGGGGCAGAGCCGAGTGAGGAGGCGTCTGGGGACCCAGCAGGCGTCCTGCCGGCGTCTGCCCCGGGAACAGGCCACCTGGGCGGGCACTGGGGGGCCTTCGCGCTGCTGGTGCGTCCGCCTCCATTGTCGGCTCCCAGACCTCCTCCCAGCACCAGGAGCCACAGTGCCTGTCGCCTGCTCTGGCCTCTCATTCACCTCTGCCGAGGGCAGGGGCGGGGCCAGGGAGGGCGGTGGCACTGGGGGCTGGACTTGGCGACCCCGGAGGCTCCTGACGACATGGCCTCGGCCACACTCACAGCCTGTGCGCCCTCCGCCACTGCTGTCGGATTCACCCCGCCGGGTGCCCGTCATTGGCGGGCTGTTCCTCAGGTCGGACATTTGGCTTCTACCCCGTTGCTTCTCAGCTGTACTTGGCGCCCCCCCTCCCAAAACAGAAGCAAGGCCACCTACTTTGGCCTGTTTAGGGCTCAGGGGCTGAGCATCCACCTAGGAACCAGGAGGTCAGGGTTCGGTTCTGGTCAGGGCACAGGCCCGGGTTGTGGGCTCCATCCCCAGTGCAAGAGGCAGCCGATCTCGGAGTTGGTTATTCTTGTCACCAATTGGGTGATTCTTGTCATTGAAGTTTCTAATCTCTCTCTCCCTCTCCCTTCTTCTCTGAAATCAATTTATCTATCTATGTACTATATATATAAAAGCCTAATGTGCAAGTTGTCCCTGCGGGAGTTCAACCAGGAGACCAGGAGTTTGATCCCTTGCTATGACATGTGCTGCCCACCAGGGGGTGTTGCGGGACGGAGGAAGGCCCCGATGGGACCTGATCCCTGGGCAGCCCTAGGGACCCTACCTGTGCACGGATTTCATGCACGGGGCCTCTAGTGTGTATGTATGTGTACATATAAAAAGTCGCACTAGAGCCGGGACTCCCGATGCTGCCGAGTGTGGGTTCGGGAGGGACTCCGGGGCTGGAGCCCAGCGCCTGTGTCGGAGGCGGGGCTCCGTTACAGGCCAGCGGCACTGCAGTACGTTACGGTCAAAACGCACGGTGCTGCTGGCGAGTCTGCCGCGCCCGGAGACGCCGGGCTCCGCCCCGCTGGGCGTCATGTCCTCCATCGGGAGCCCTGTGTCCTGTCCCTGTCCACGGACACTGCGGCCTCCCTCCCGGCGTCCGCACACTCCATCAGGGCCCGCTGAGTGCCGCCGGCCGGTCTGTCAGCGCCTGCTGAGGGTGAAATACTAAGCGTGTCTGTCAGCAGCCGCCCTCGCAAAGCAGGGCTGTTCCTCCCGCTCTCAGGGGAGACTCTGAGGCTTGGCAGGGACGGGGAGGACGCCTTCCGAGGCAACGAGCAAGGATGCGTTGGGCCTTTCTGCCCCCTGCTGGGCGGGGGAGGGGGCGCCGTACAAGGTGGTGTCCTGGAGGGGTGACGTGGCAGTGGGCCTCGCCGCACCCCAGCCGTGCCCCCACCCACGGCGTTCCCGGCGCCCCGCCTGGCCCGGCGCCCTGCCGGTTCCCGGGGGGACGAGGGTCGGCCGTGGAGGTGGGACCGGGGGCCCGGGGTCTCGGCGGAAGGCCGGTCCCGCGGGTGGTGTGTGCAGGGGCAGAGGCCCGGGAGGGCCTGGTCCTCACACCGTGAAATGGGATTTGTCCTGCGAAGCCTCGAAGCGGCCCTCACGTGCCATCCCCGTAGCTGTGACCGGGGCCTGAACCCTGTGCTGATGGGTCTGCCCTCTGCGTTGCAGGCGCTGGACGTGGACCGGATGGTGCTGTACAAGATGAAGAAGTCCGTGAAGGCCATCAACATCTCTGGGCTGGGTGAGTCCCTCCCCGGCCGCTCCGAGGTTCGGCCGTCCAGCACCAGCAGTGATGAGCCCAGGCTCCGCTGTCACTGCTAGTGAACAGCCACGTACATCCCCTTTTTCTTTTTCTTTTTTAAACACATCGTTAGTGAGGAAGGTATTACCTGTGTCCCATTGACCTCCAGCCCGCATACCCCCACCCTGGCCCTCACCACGCCATGGTCTGGGCCGTGGGTTATGCATGTGTGCATGCAAGGCCTTGGCTGACTCAGTCTCCTTTTTCTGGGCGTGCAGTCACAGAGGTGAGCTGAGGTGTTGACGGTTTAGACGTGTTTCTGAGGGAGTCAGTTCCACGGTAGGTGTCGGCGGTGTGTGACGCAGACTGTCCCGCGGTGAAGGCGTCGGAGGGACTTGGAGCAGCCAGGCTGTTTCTACAGCCCTTGAGCCAGAATGGTGTTTACTGTCTGACCTGGAACCACACGGCACTCACGTGTGCCCACACCTGCCTGTCAGCGAGCCCGGTGCCCGCCGCCCGCCCTCAGAGTTTGGGCTCAGTGGGTGCCGGATGGAGCCTGAGTGTGAGCTAATCAGCTGTGTGCTTAGGTGGCGCGGAAGCTGCAGGCCTTTCAGAGTCTACCCTGTTTCCCCGAAAATAAGACAGTGTCTTATATTAATTTCTTCTCCCAAAGTTGCGCTAGGTCTTATTTTCAGGGGATGTCTTATCTTTCCATGCACTAGGTCTTATTTTCAGAGGATGTCTTATTTTCGGGGAAACACGGTAGCTGGGGCACACATTTGCACACAGATGCACACACCAAACACACGAAAACACTCGCATGCTTATGCATAGGTGTGCACACATGCACGTGTAACACCTAGGTTTATGGACTGGACCGAAAACGCATCGGCAAGCCCCCCGCGCATACAACGCGAGCGCTTTCTTACACGCCGTAGGTCTGTTATTCCCAGAGCCGTTAAGACAGCAGTTAGTTGAGAAACGGTTTCTACCGCAATTTTCCCCAATCACAATGGACTGCGGTCTGAGCTCGATTAAAAGGCCGGTTGGTGTTTGTTCTGGAACCTGTGCTGGTCTAGGACCCCGGCCCTGAGGTGCCGCTGGACGGCAGAGCCGTTTCCTCGTGTGTCTGACGGGGGGCGGGGGAGACGTCCGTGTGTCTCTGGGAGGTCCCTCCGTTGCTGACGTGGGAGAGGAACCTCGCATCTGAGAACCGAAAGCTCGGTGGGAGGCCCGGGAGGCGGGTGTCCGTGTGGGCGCGGGAGAGTCACTGCTGGGGCGGCTTGCCCCGACGAGGAAGTGAGCTCCCGGGCAGGTTCCACGGAGAGTGGAGGTGGCGCTGAGGAAGTGGGGGAGGGAGCCTGGCTCAGATGTGGTCTGAGATTCGGGCTGTCGCTCGTCTGCGGTGGAGGCGGCCATCGGAATCCCGGTGGGTGGCTGGGGGAGGGGGACCTGGCAGCCAGGACGCCCGTTCATCACCGGAGGAAGCCGAGCCGGAGGCAGCGCCGAGGTTGGAGCCTGAGCCGCGGGGTCAGCAGGGCCGTGCCCGGGGTCCTGGTCCCTGGAGGGTTAGGCTGCTCTGGCTGGGCCTTTCTCACCGCGTGTGGTCTGCACCCCAGACGTGGTGTGAGGTGATGCAAGCATGCCTTCCCGGAGGCACCCAGCTCTGTCCCGGTGTGAGAGGCGTCCGTGACCACAGGAGACGAAAGCAGCACAGGCTACAGGCCGAGGTCTCAGGTGCCATCCGCCCAGGGCTCCCCTCGCGCACGGGAGATGCCAGCTGCAGCATTGGTGCCTCCCAGCCTGCTTCCTCGTCCGCAGTTGTCATCGAGATGCGGCTGTGCGTGTGCATGTGCACGTGTGTACTGTGTCCCATGTCCCATGCACGTGTGTGCTGTGTCCCGTGTTCCGTGTGCGCCTGTCCTCTGACTGCACACCGGGCGGACGGTGGCGCATTGTACCTTTGTGCCGGCAGTGCCGTCTGCTGCGGAGGGAATAGGCTGTTAGTCACTCACACAGGCCTCCGCTGTCCCTTCCTGTCATTGATGTGGGGAGTGATCAAAGGACAGGGCCAGACTCCGGTGTTCACTTCCTCATAGGCGACCTCACCTTTACCTCCCTGGCCCCACTGCTGACGCAGGCAGCCTGGAGACGTCCCGTGGCGACCGGTAGGTCAGTGGTTTCAGAGGTCCAAGCGGGAGGCCCAGGAGGACATGAGGAGATCAGTGAGTTAGAAGGAGGCTGGGAAGTAGGAAGAGCACGGTGTGTGTGTGTGTATGTGTGTATGTGGGGGGAGTGCAAATGCCACAGGCCGTGTGGCAGGATCGGGTTGCAGGGTCCCCGTCAGTCACCAGCGGCCCCCTCACCACCACCTGAGCCTGAGGTCTGGGGTCACCAGCTGCCCATTCACCGTTCACCACCCACATGTTCCTGGGGTTGGCACCTCCGTTCTGCTGCTGCTCTGGGAATTCCTACCTGACGTTGGAGCCTCAGCTCAGATGCCCCCTCTGGCGCCTCTGGGCCTCAGCACCCAGCACGCCTGGCTCTGCAACGACGCCTGGCCGGCTTACCTCGCCCTGGACGGTGACACATGCGTCTGAGTCCCAGCAGGGCAGCCACCCTGTGGCAGGTGGGGGGGAGGGCGGGGGGGTGATGAGAGAGGGGGGAGGGGCAGGTGGGTGGTTGCCTTGCTGTGGGTCCTGTCCCGCCCCCGTCCCACCCCTGGCAGCGCTGGGCGGTGGCCGGCCTGTGCCTGGCCTGTTGAGTTGTGGTTGGTCCAGTGACGTTTGCTGCACTACACGCACTGGGCATGTCCTCGGTGTCCGTGTTTGCACGTGATAGTCAGACAAACAGAGGAGCACACACAGCCCAGCCGGCACAGCCGGGGCTGCCTGGGTCCGTCTGGGCGCACGGCATCCCCCCACGTGGGCGCGGAACGTGGGGCTCTGCGTGAGGTGCGGGCCGGAGGGCCGCGGCTTCCCTGGGAAGAGCCGGTGTTACCCGTGGTCGCGGGGACTCCTGCCCGCCCTCCCGCCCCTCCCCCGCCGGAGCGCCCGGTCTGGATCCCTCTCGAACCGGGTTACAGCCGTGTCTGAGCCGGGAGCGGGAGAGGGGGCTGGTTTTAGAACAGCCTTCACGGGGCCATAAATAAAGCTGAGGCCCAGTCTGGGCTCTCTCCAGAAACTTACTCCCAAGCTGCTTATTTTAGGCTCCTGTTTTAAATTTGGTTTTGGCCAAAGAAAAAGACAGGCGCTCCGCCACGTTCTGTTCCCCAGGAGGAAAGTCTGCGGCGGGGGGGGGGGGGGGGGGGGGGGGGGCGGGGGGGGGGGGGGGCAGGAGAGGGCAGGGGGGGGGGCGCAGGAGAGGGCAGGGGGGGGGGGCGGAGCCCCGGGCTGCGGTCTTTATTAAGAACCTTCACGTTTATTTGCAAGAAGAGAAATTTGTTTTCAACTAGAGTCCGAGCTGGTTTGGCTCCGTGGATAGAGCATTGGGCTGAAGGGTCCCGGGTCCGATTCCGGTCAAGGGCACATACTTAGGTCACAGGCTTGATTCCGGTCCTGGTCAGGGTGCAAGCGGGAGGCAAACAATTGATGTGTCTCTCACATCGATGTTTCTCTCTCTGTGTCTCTTCCCTCCCTCCAATCTCTAAAAAAAAGACAAAAGAAAAAGAAATCAATGAAAAAATAGCCTCAAGTGAGGATTTAGAAGAAAAGAAAAAGAAAAAAAAACACCTCAGGTAGATCAACTAAAGGTCCCCTGACCTATGCTGGGACAGCGCGAGCATCAGGAATGATGATGCAGCGGATGGAAACGCTTTAATATAAATACGTGAGGTCATTAGGATGCTGAGCAGTGATGATGAAATCACATTACAAGAGATGATGATGATGAGATTATGTTACCTATGATTGTCATGATGAGATCATGTTACATGAGATGATGAGATCATGTTACATGAGATGATGAGATCATGTTACATGAGATGAGATGAATTTATCATGACGCATGAGATGATCAGGAGATCATCGTGATACATATGTGATGGTGATACATGAGCTGGTGATGATCATGAGATGATGAGATCCTGTTATATGAGTTGGTGATCATGAGCTGACACATGAGCTGACACATGGTGAGATCGTGTTACATGTGATGAGATGATGGTGCGTTCGTGTTCCATGAGCTGGTGATGATCATGAGATGATGTGATCGTGTTCCATGAGCTGGTGATCATGAGATGACACATGAGCTGGTGAGATCATGTTACATGAGATGAGATGGTGGTGCGATCATGTTCCATGACTTGGTGATGATCATGAGGTCATCATGGCACCTGAACCAATGACCGGGATGATGATGCCACCGCGCCGGAAAGCCGCCGTGGCCACCATTGGCGTTGCCAGGGTTACCACGTTACTGCGGAGTTTCTAGGGGAGACTTCTTTGTGATGTAACCGCAGCGGTTGGGAAGCCCAGGAGGGACAGAGGACGTCGTCCGTCCGTCCGTCCGTCCGTCCGTCCGTCCGCCCTCGGTGCCGGAAGGGGAAGCTTGGCTGACGCTCCCGCGCCAGGCTGGCTCCTCCCCAGGGGCCGGGGCTGGGCAGCAGCCTGCGTCGTGGGCGGAGGGTGATGGCGCCCTGCCCGCCTCTTCCAACCGTGTGACCTGGGGGACCCTCTGAGCACCACTTCGTTCAAGGGTAAAGGGCCTCAGGGACCAGGGTACGTGGAACCTGAGGTGACAGGCCGCCTGCCAGGCCGGAAAGCGATTCCCTGCCCTGGGGGTTCACATGGAGCAGCCTGGACGTCTGGGCACCATTTTTGTTTGTTTGTTATTATATGTTTTTGTGGATTTCAGTGAGGAAGGGAGAGGGAGAGAGAGGTAGAAACATCCATGGTGAGAGAGAATCATGGATCGGCTGCCCCTTACACGCCCCACCCTGGAGATCGAGCCTGCAACCCGGGCCTGTGTCCTGACCGGGAATCGAACCATGATCTCCTGGTTCATAGGGCGATGTTCACCCCCTGAGCCAGGCCGGCCGAGCCAGGCACCAGTTTGAAGGGCTCCACGTGGCCCCAGGGACTGGCCGCTGCACCTGTCCCTCCCCGGGGCAGTGACCAGCCCGCGGCCGTGGCTGTCGCTCCTTTAACCCCCCGGGACGGCCCCGCCCGGCCGCCAGGTTTGAAGTAGTTCTGACAGCTTGTGGCTGGGAAGGAGCTGCCCCAAGACGGACCACCGGGTCCAGAATGAAAAGTGGGTGAAGTGGAAGGTGGAACCATCGTCTCTGAAATGCAGCTTTTGTTGTTCTTTCCCTTTCTTGGATTTTAAGAGAGGAAGGGGGGGAGGGAGGGGTAGGAACATGGCTGAGAGGGAAGGGTCACTGATTCGCTCATACTGATGCCTCCTGAATGCCCCCAACCGGGGATCGAACCCCTGACCTCCTGGTCCATAGGCTGATGCTCAGCCACTGAGCCACGCCCGCCGGGCTCAGGTGCGGGTTCTGCCGAGGGCTCGGTTTCGCCGGCAGCTGGAGCGCCCGGTAACCGTCCCCTCCCACCGCAGCGCACGTGGAGAACGAGGAGCAGTACACGCAGGCGCTGGAGAAGTTCGGCGGCAACTGCGTGTGCAGAGACGACCCGGACCTGGGCAGCGCCTTCCTCAAGTTCTCGGTGTTCACCAAGGAGCTGACGGCGCTCTTCAAGAACCTGGTGAGTGCGGGCGCGCCCTCGGAGCGGGCGCGGGGCGGGGGGGCGGGCGCGGGGGCGGGCGCGGGGCTCCCCGGCCTGCTGCTGGACCGGACGGTGGGCGATCGCTCTGCACACACCAGGCCCCGTGGGCACACCTGAGAGCTGTAACGGCAAACACGGCTTTAAAACTCAGCCCGGTGTGGTCACTGCGCACAGCTGGGGGGCAGAATCATCCATCTGACTTCCGTCTTTAATCAGCGTACACTGTGGAAGGGCCTGTTTCCGGTGGTCACAGCCGGTGTTCAAACCTGTGGCGTGTAAGAGCGTGCTGCAGACCGTCTTACCCAGCAGCGTGACCAGCATCAAAGCGCGGACGTTACCACGAACGGTTAGGCCTGTTTTCCTCCCCAGCGCGGAGCCGAGGAGGGCTCGCTGTCAGCCGGGAGCGGGGCCGTGCGCCCGGCTGCGGGGCGGCGTGTTCGGCTCTCGCCCCCGAGTCCCCTCGGAGCCGCCAAACGGCCCAGGAAGAGCCCTGTCGATGCTGAGGTGGGGGCCCGGGGTGACAGGTCAGCCCGCTCCCCTGCCCGCAGCTCGCCCCTCCGCCTGGCTGGGGTGGGAAGGACGGCCTCCGGAGTGAGAGGCCACAGGAACAGCACCGGGAGGCCGAGCCCTCAGGAAACGGTTGTCAGACAGTCAGTGTAAGGATATGTGCCGTGGCCCTGGCTGGGGGGACCAGTGGATAGAGCCTCGGCCTGCGTTCTGAAAGGTCCCGGGTTCGATTCCAAGTCAGGGTGTGGTGGGCGGGCAAGAGGCATGCGATCCATGATTCCCTCGTTATCGTCGATGTTTCTATCTCTCTCTGTCCCTCTCCCTTCCTCTCTGAAATCAATTTGAAAAAGGTTTTACAAAAAAGGAAATGTACAATGGAAAAGAAGGGTCGGAGCAGGAGAAACTCCTCAGAAAACAGACCGAAAAGACAAAAAAAAGTAGGGAATGGAGCGTCCTTGTGGGGCCTCTCAGAACGAGAGCCTGGAGGGCAGAGGGGGCACGGACACCCAGCACCGAGACGATTCTCCCGCGAGGACTCCAGCGTCCACACACACACACACACACACACACACACCCGTCTCCGTGGGAAACGCTCAGACCAGACGCTCCCCTGAGGACCGGGATCAGGAGCCGCGCGGCCTGGGGCTTCTCGGCGGAAACCCTGGGAACGGGAGGGTCTGGCCCGAGGCCCCGAGGCCCTGGGGGACAGTGTCGTACCCGAGTCCGCCCGGGGCCGGGAAAGGAGGTTCCGGAAGCAGTCTAGCGCCTCGGAGGAGGGAGAAGGCTGAGGGAGGTGGTGTTTTCGGGGAGGAAGTCCTCCCTTTTAAAAGCCGGTGGGTCTTCTGTGCATGGTGCAGGGGGAGTCGGGGGGGGGGGGGGGGGACTGCGTGCAGAGCCGTGTCTGCGCTTCGCTCCGACCCCAGGCCCTGAGCGGGACGTCCTGGGAGGCGGGCTGGGAAGTGCCTTTTTTTTTTTTTTTTTTTTTTTGGTCAATCCTTACTCGAGGTTATTTTTTCCATTGATTTTTTTAGTTAATTTTTTTAGAAAGAGTGGAAGGGAGGGAGGGGGAGAGAGAGAGAAACATCGATGAGCGAGAGACACATGGATTGGGTGCCTCCCACACATGCCTTGACCAGGCTGGGGGTTGAAGCTGCAGCCCAGGTCCCCGCCCTGGACGGGAATCGAACCCGGGACCCCCTCATGCTTGGGACAACGCTCTCACCAGTCGGGGCGAGGGGTGTCCCTCTAATGGACGCCTGGCTGCCCCGAAGGACACGCCCTGAAAGGCCCCGGGGGTCTGAGACGGGGGTGAGACGTGCGTGTCGGGCTGCGGAGTGGGGTCTGCGGGCTGAGGCCAGGGTGGGCGCCGGGCGGCCCTGGGCTGAGGAACGTCACGTCGCTCGTTTCAAAGGGGAAGCGGGCGCTCCACCCAGCACAGGCTGCGGGGCGAGGGGCTGCCTGCGGCTCTGTCCACACGGGTGCTCCGGTCAGGGCGTCCCTGCCTACGGGGCTGACAGGTCGGCGGGAGCGCCATCCGGCTCCGTGCTCCTGTCACCAAAGCTCCTGCTCAGCACAGGGTGCTCCTCCCAGAGGGTTCCCCCCGACACGCGCCCCCCCCCCCCCCCGCCGTGTTCCCACAAACTTCCCTCAGCTTCTTTAATAAAAGTGAATATTTTTTCAACCTTTTTTTTTTTTTTTTAATGTTTTTTAGAGCAAGAGGAAGGGAGAGGGAGGGGGAGATGGAAATATCCATGGGAGAGAAACATCATCAGTGGGCTGCCTCCTGCACGCCCCCCTGCTGGGGACCAAGCCACAACCCAGGCATGTATCCTAACCAGGAATCAAACCAATCTCTCTCTCTCTCTCTCTCTCTCTCTCTCTCTCTCCCCCCCCCCCCCTCTCCTCTCTCGTTGCTGGTCCCTAAAAGTAGGCCTGTCTCAGGCCGACTTCCAGCGCGTCCTGGGCGAGTCCCTTTGGCAGCACAGGCTCGCTCTGGGCCAGGCCAAGGAGAAGGCAGCGCCCCATCCCCAGGGTCGAGCTCGCCAGCAGCAGTGCTGACCGGTGACCAGAGCTCAAGGGGCCGGCCGGACAGTGCCGGGCTGAGCCAGCGGTCTGGAGATTTGGAGAGTATGAAAGATTTGAAGGGCGTTGACCTGTGAACCAGGAGGTCACGGTTCGCTTCCCAGTCAGGGCACATGTCCAGGTGGTGGGCTCCATCCCAGTGTGGGGCGTGTGGAGGCGGCCACAGCGTCGGGACAGGTTCAAGCCTCGGACCGAGGAGAGGGCACCGTCCTCGTGGCCGCGGGCAAGTCCCAGCCGGAGGGCAGAGCCTCCCGGCACAGCGACCGCCAACAGCCGTGGCTGTGCGCCTGAACCTGTGGTCCGAACACGTGGCCCCAGGTGCCCGAGGGACGTGGGCTTGATAGGGTTCAGGTGCGCGTAGGTGAGTGGATGGGAACGTTGGTAACATCTTGGCCACGCCCTCCCTTTGCCTCGAGGCTTCGGCTGCAGAATAAAGACTCGGCTTGTGGGCGCTGTCACTGTCTCTCCATCAGAGAAGCAGCGTCCCACCCAGACCCAGCTTTCTTGTCTGTCTTTTCTCCATCCTTCACCGCCCCCCTCAGGATCACCCTTGGCTATGCTGGCATGGCACAGGGCGTGCAGGAAGCAGCCTATCTGTGATTCTCTCTCGTCATTGACGTTTCTCTCCTTTTTTCTCTGAAATTGATGGAAAAAAATACATACATATGTATATGTATATATATGTGTGTGTGTGTATATATATATATACATACATATATATATATATACTTTTTTTTAAGAAAAAGTGTAAAAGTGACAAAGCTAGAGGCAAGGAATGTCAACACCAAAGTCTTCCTGGGAAGATGGCATTGGCTGGCTCAGTCCCCGCCCGGCCCCCACCCCCCCATCTCCTGGTCCATCGCTGGTTGCTCATCAGCCGTGGCATCAGTGCAGCCAGGTGGTTCTCCATCGCCGGTGACCCTGTCTGCCCCCGCCCCCCCCCCTGAGTCACTGCGTCTCCTCGGGATTACAGGCCCTGACTGCTGTGCCTCATCTTGTCAGATGCAGGGACGGACGCAGGCGAACCCGGGACCGAGCCGGCAGGGGCGGGGGGGAGGGCGGAGAGGCAGGGCTGTTCCTGTAAAGACGGCTGTTTGCCGTTGGCATTCGGTCCACAGTGAAGGGCCTGGGTTAGGGTGAGTGATTTGTACTCACAGCGTCCATGCCTGCTGTCTGCAAAGCCGCTGGCTGGCACGTGCTCGTTCCGAGGAAGCCGGTGCCTGCCTGGCACGGAGGAAAACATCCCTGGCTTTGCTCAGGGATGACCGAGTTCTCCCCCGAGACCATAAAGCTTTCAGCATGCGTAGCCGGCCCGAGGCTTGAACCTGTCCCGACGCTGAGCCCGCCCTCCACAGAGAACCATCCATCGGCTGCCTCCTGCACGCCCCCTCAGGGGTGGAGCCCGCAGCCCGGGCCTGTGCCCTGACGGGGAGTCACACCGGCGGCCTCTAGTTCCTGGGTGGACGCTCAGCCACTGAGGCACGCTGGCCGGCCACCCTGCTCCCCTTCCTGCCGGACGCCCTCCACCGCTCCTGCAGGACAGAACCCCCCGCCACAGTCTGTTCCCGTAGCGCCCAGCAGCAAGGTTTCCCTGGTGTCCAGACAAGTCATTCCTCGTCTGGGAAGTCCCGGGTCCTATTTCCGGCTCCGGGAGTGTTGGGGGCGCTGTGTTTTCCCCACTACGCGCTCACCTCCCCCATTGCACCGGGGGCTCCGGAGCCGGGTCCGTCTATCTGTCTTTGTCTCCTCTCCCTCTCTCTCTCTCTCCCTCTCTCTCTCTCTCTCTCTCTCTCTGGGGGCTCCGGAGCGGGTCCGTCTAATCCGTCTTTGTGTCTCTCTCTCTCCCTCTCTCTCTCTCCCTCTGTCTCCTCTCTCCTCTCTCTCTCTCTCTCTCTCTCTCTCTCTCTCCTCTC